GACCGGTTATGAAAGCAAAAGGACACCTTTTCTGTCAAAATAGTATACGAAAGGGTAGGGGGCTGCACCATGGGGCGGAGCCTCCACATATAGAACTTTGTGAAGTTCCCACCTACCGCCGCCCGGGTGTCGATGCGGCAATGGAACACGTAAAGTGCGGGATTACGGCATTTCGGACTGAAGCGTATTTAAGAGCTAAAAATGTTCAAACACCTCAAAGAAGAAGAAGGGCAAAACTGCTCCCCGTCACTGACTTTGTTAACTACATGACTTGATGTCTTTGTCGCTCGATGAGAGAGCAGTTGTACCCGATATCACAAAGAACAAATATTGGAATCCCGTTGAAGGATCAGTATTTTATTTCTTATTTCATCGTCCTTTGCAACTGCGCTAGCTGTTCCACAATTGCAAACATCATTTTATTTTATCTCGCACTACGCTACAGAATCATTCTTTTCTCAATTTGGCCATTTAATTAGCGTTGTAACAGTCGCTGCACACATCGTGTAAACGTTTATTTGTTCGTCAGATATAACTTGTGTTCAATAGTCCATAAAGTTATCACTTGCTTTATGACCTACATCAACATCAGCTTCACTACAGTCTGAGGATCAAGTGAAGCTAAAGGCTACATTATACACTGACTTAGTTGGTACAATAACGAAGAGAACAACCCGGAGTCGGTTTCAGTTTGTAGACATAGAACGAGCCACAGTTGCGTACCGTTATATAGGTATGATAAGGGCAAGGACACGAGGATGATGATTTCCTGCCGAAGCACACTTTTCTTGTGACCCTCCCCGCCGAAACTGAAGGATGTCCACCCACTAACCAGCCAGGGTTATCTGTGTTGCAGGAGTGGTACTTAGCACACTGGTCGCTCAAGTGTTTTCCCTCTACAAACCTGTACCAACCCTCAGCGAGGCCATAGTCGCATTTGTCGTTATCCCATTTAGAGCCCACTCGTCGTGAATAGTCATCTAACCTCATGTGACGGACGCATTCCGGTTTATCGGTACCTGAAAAAGTCAGTTTAAGATAAGGGGCAATCGGATCAAAGATTCAAACAGGAAAACTGTTTAAAATTAAATTCGTTTAAGCATTCCTTTCCGCGAGAGTTGTCGAACCCCCCAGTACTTGCAGACTACGCTTCTTGCAGTTTTTGCTCTGTTACGTTATAAATATACCTCTAAAAATTTCAGATAACTTGAAGCTTTGGAAGCACTCGTCTACGTCTTGTGCTCCTTTAACATTTGCCGTTTCTCTGGGACTTCCACCTGTGTTTCTATAAATCGACGTCTACTCTACCTGAATTTATTATTACTTTTTTAAAGAGGGGGGTTGTCGGGGGTGAAGGGAGAATCATGTCAACTGACTGACGACAAACGTCAACTAACTTGTTTTCACCATCTTGTTCAGAAAAGTTTCGTCTTATATCAAATTCTTACACTGTACTGCATTTCCGCTCCAGTTACCGCTGGGCAAGCATCTTCTGACTGCGGGACCAAACATAGTATACCCCGGATTGCAGAGGTATCTGACGTACTCTCCTGCCCAGTAGGTGCTGTGGACAAGCACCGCGTTCTCTGGGCTACCTGGATGGCCACAGTTAGGCAGAACTAAAGAATTAAGACCGAACGGAATGAGTTAATTGGTCAATCGAATACTGTACCTAAGTACCACCAGCTGTTCAGAATTAGTATAAATCTACTAGCGTTCTATCACGAGTGCCGTTCTCTGATTGGTTATGCTACTCACTATCTATTCTGTTTTAGTATCACCCAACTAGTGGACTAATGCAAATCCTGCATTTTCATTGGCTACGCTACT